TGTTCCCTGTGGCTGGACTCCATGGGAAGGGGGCAGTGGGTAACGCGGGGTTGTGCATGGCCTTCCCGCTCCACTGTGCTCATGTAGAAAGTTCCAGTTGTTTACCTGTTCATCACTAGCCTGCAAAATGCTTTTCAAATTTTGAACAAATTTGGAATACTTAACTCTCCTCCAACCAATGTAGCCTGGCACCAGAGTGGGGCAGGAGGGAGGGAATATCCAGTTTAACCCTTTCCCATTAGCTCACCGTGGTGTCCACATCTCTCCAAGCTGCTTGTGATGGGGGCTGGAGTCAGCCACAGCGCTAACAAACTCTCCTGTGGGCCCTTAAGCAAGGCCCCGGGTCACTGGCAGTGAAGGCCAGGATTGAGTTGGGGGGACAGTAGGGAATGGTCTACTGCCACTGGATTTACAAAGCCTTTGAAGGAAGAGGTAATGGGAAACCTTGTTCCTCCTTTCAATGAATTCCTTGATTCCTTCCCTCTGAGAACTTGGTCAGGCATGGTCTCAGCCTTGCCCTGCTGGTCCTTCCAGAGCCCCTCCCCAGTCTGAAAGGAAGGACAGGGTGTTGATGATCAGACCCTGGTCTGGCTGGCGCCAGGGAGCTGGGATTGGGGCCTCTCTAGGCTAAAGAGCAGGGTCAGTTTTTCCAGGGACATCTTTCACTTGCAGACTGGCCAGTGGCCAAGGCTTAAAGATGCTGGTTTCAAGGTTTGAAAAAGTCTGTGTTCCATTTTTTTAAAATATGTTTTTATATTGATTTTAGAGAGGAAGGGAGAGAAAGAGAAACATTGATGCCTCCTGCACGCCCCCTAGTGGGGATCAAGCTCTGACAGGGAATCCAACTGGCAGCCTCTCAGTGTATGGGATGATGTTCAGCCAACTGAGCCACATGGGCCAGGGCTGGGTTCCATTTTCTAGTGAGGCATTTATAACTTCCTGGGGGAGTGGGGAGCAGGGGCAGAGCCCGGCACTTTAGCAGAAGGCCAGTTCATGAGATCATTTCCTGAAAGGACACTGAGCTTTGTACTCTCCCCAGTTAGACGGCTGAGCCCTTCTACATGGACAGGGACAGGGAGGAGAGCACGGCCACTGCTCCACTGCTCGTCCTGCATCATTGAAATCCTGGGTTCTGGTCCCAGCCCTGCAGCCTAGTGGCTGTGCACATCTCTCCAAGCTGCTTGTGATGGGGGCTGGAGTCAGCCACAGCGCTAACAAACTCTCCTGTGGGCCCTTAAGCAAGGCCCCGGGTCACTGGCAGTGAAGGCCAGGATTGAGTTGGGGGGACAGTAGGGAATGGTCTACTGCCACTGGATTTACAAAGCCTTTGAAGGAAGAGGTAATGGGAAACCTTGTTCCTCCTTTCAATGAATTCCTTGATTCCTTCCCTCTGAGAACTTGGTCAGGCATGGTCTCAGCCTTGCCCTGCTGGTCCTTCCAGAGCCCCTCCCCAGTCTGAAAGGAAGGACAGGGTGTTGATGATCAGACCCTGGTCTGGCTGGCGCCAGGGAGCTGGGATTGGGGCCTCTCTAGGCTAAAGAGCAGGGTCAGTTTTTCCAGGGACATCTTTCACTTGCAGACTGGCCAGTGGCCAAGGCTTAAAGATGCTGGTTTCAAGGTTTGAAAAAGTCTGTGTTCCATTTTTTTAAAATATGTTTTTATATTGATTTTAGAGAGGAAGGGAGAGAAAGAGAAACATTGATGCCTCCTGCACGCCCCCTAGTGGGGATCAAGCTCTGACAGGGAATCCAACTGGCAGCCTCTCAGTGTATGGGATGATGTTCAGCCAACTGAGCCACATGGGCCAGGGCTGGGTTCCATTTTCTAGTGAGGCATTTATAGACTTCCTGGGGAGTGGGGAGCAGGGGCAGAGCCCGGCACTTTAGCAGAAGGCTGCTGTGGAAGCCCTGTCCTGGCAGTGTCTGCTGGACAGGAAAAGGAAAAGACCTGCTGGTCACTGGGGACCAAGACTAGAGTGGTCGGTAGTGGTGGGTTGAGTTTGTGGATTGCACACACTCCCTCCAAGCCATAGCATTGAGGTTCATACACCCAATGACTGTTTGCATCAAAGCAAACAAGATCCCTTGCTCTACTTTCAAAATATAACTCAACCCCACCACTTCTCACCATCTCCACTGCTGTTGCCAGCACAGCAGCCTCCTCCTCCTCCTGCCACCACTCATCCCTCCACAGGTCAGTCTCCACTCAGCAGCTAGGATGATCTTTTTAAAGTGTGAACCAGCCTGGCCTGTGTGGTTCAGTGGTTGAGCATCAACCTATGAACCAAGAGGTCACAGTTCAATTCCCAGTCAGGGCACATGCCCAGGTTGCGGGCTCGGTCCAAAGTAGGGGAGGCAGCCGATCAATGATTCTCTTATCATTGATGTTTCTATCTCACCTTCTCCCTTGCTCCTTGACATCAATAAAAATATATTTTTAAAAATAAAATATGAACCAGACCTTTCCACTTACATGTTTAAACCCTGCAGTGACTTCCTAGCACACTGGGATAAAAACCTAGATTCCTTCCTGCTAATTTCAAAGGCTCCATGGGACCTGGCCCCTGTCTCCAGTCTGGCCCCTGTCTCCAGTCTGACACTCTTCCCTTCATTTGCTGCTCTGCCCCAGCCACACTGACCTCCCACCTGGAGAAATCCTCCCTGCTGCTCCCTCAGCAAGGGGCTCTGTCCCCCAGGTCGTCTTCTGCATCTTTTCCTACCACCTGTTTACAGTAGCCACTCCCCACCTCTGCCGTTCTCTTCGAATCACCATCACCTGGTATCACTGACTGCAGAGGACTTACGAGTCTCTGAAATGCGGATCTATTTGTTAGTTCTCATTAGAAATGTAAGCTTCAGGAGACCAGGGAGCTTGAGTGTCCAGGATCAGTGAGTGGGACTGAGGAAGTGCTTAATAAAATATTTATTGAAAGAATGAGTGAACACATTAAATGAATTTTCTCTTTTTCAAAGGAGGGTAACAATGATAGTAAGGACTATAATAAGTTCAGGGACCTTCTTAAGAAAAACTTTATGCACAACACTGTCAGGGCTGGAAAAGAAGGCAGAGTGGACCAGGAGGAGGGAGGAAGGGCGGGAGGGTAGAGTAACACCTCTCATTCTGTGCTGTGGGGCCACACAGGGTGGAGTGCTAGACACACTTCTAGGTGCTACCCTCACCCTGGGCTTCCTTCCAGGCCTGGCGAATCTTAATCTTTACTTTGTAAGAGTCTATCAGAAAGACCACATTGGGGGTGCCCTCCAGGGAGGGCAGCTGCCCATCATCTGGGGCCTCCAGGTCGAACCTCTGCAGCATCCAGGACATGAAGAGGAAGAGTGCCTGGCGGGCCATGTTCTCCCCTAGGCAGGAGCGGGGTCCTGCTCCGAAGGGCAAGTAGCTGGAGGATGGCGAGATGAGCTGTCTCCCTGTGGGGTCCAGGAAGCGCTCTGTGGACATGGGCAACGCATCAGGCAGGGGCCAGGGCTGGAGTAAGTAGAGGAGTGCCTCTACCCTGACTGAGGAGCCCCAAGCTGAGGAGAGATACAGCCATGTGCTCAGGCAGCCCTTAATCACACAGAGGGAATGAGATATTCAGGAAGGATAGAAAGGAGGTGGTATCAGCCCATGAAAAATGCCACCATCCAAGGGGAGAAGGGCCCCACTTCATGGGGGCATATGCCTAAAAGGCTTCTTAGAGGAGAAGATTTGCAGTTGGTGGAAGGGGAGAGCAGGAAACCTAGCTGTGAAGAGGGTGGGTAAGTCTAGGCGGGATGGGGTGTCAGTAGTTCCATGTCATTGGAGGCAGGAGTTTTCTAGTTGCCAGGTTGGCAGAGGGGAAGTGCTGGGGCAGCAGAGCACAGAGACCAGGTTGGCTGCATGGCCTGGGACCAAGACAGAACGGACTCACCGGGCATGAACTGGTCGGGTCGGTGCCATTCCTTCTCATTATGATGCAGTGCCCACAAATTGATGACAACATTTGTACCCTTGTCAATGGCAAACTCGCCGATGCTGCCCGAGAGCGAAAGGAAAGGGGGTCTGGAATATTGTCCTCCCCCACCTGCTTAGCCACCTGCTCAGCCCCGAGTCCCCACAGTCCCCCAGCCCCGGGGAAAAGAGCCTTCTACGCCCTCACGCCCACGCCCTCTTCTTATTCTCAGCTTCTGCCAGATTCAGTATGAATGCAGCTCTTCTCCAGCCCTCCCTTCCTGACATGCACTTATGTATCAACACTTGTATGTGGATATCCGCATCAGCCAGGGCCCGTGCGTATGCCTTTCGTGCTGGTGCACTGTGTATGTGTTGTGGCTACTGGACTGAGTAGGAGCATAGAGCATCAGTCTTCCATCGCAGACCCCGTGTCTCCAGGACAGCGGGCAGCTTCTGAGGGAGGTCAGGTAGATCTGTGGGTCAGTCCTTGTGCGTCAGTGAGTGGTGGATACATTGATCAATAGGGTCATGGTAAGATAACTGATCGTCAGTGGTTGACTATAGGTGGATCAGCAAGGTGGGGGCTGAGGGAGTGGAGGATGGCCCGGAGGGCTGGCAAGCAATGTTGAGTGCATCTTAGGGCTGGATGTGAATGGGCGGGAAGGCATACCTGGAGTCAGTGATAGCCTTGTGGGGGATGAGCGTAGGGGCCACCGGGCGAATGCGCAGCACCTCCCGGATGGTGGCCTCCAGCAGCACGAGGTGGTTCCGGTCACTCATAGTCGGTGTGCGGCTGAAACCGACGTTCTGTTCAATCTCCTCCTGGATCTTCTTTTGCAGCTGGGGGCCAGAGAAGGGCGGATGTGACCAGAGTGCTTTTAAGTCCAGGAGAAGCAGGGACTTAGAAGAACCCTATTGTCACATCTAGAAGAGCTGGCCTTTGCCCAGTCAGTGTGACTCAGTGGTTGAATATCAACCTATGGATCAGGAGGTCCCGGGTTTGATTCCTGGACAAGGCACATGCCCAGGTTGCGGGCTTTACTCCCAGCCGGGGGCGTGCAGGAGGCAGCCAATCAATGATTCTCATTGTTGGTGCTTCTCTCTCTCTCTCCCTCCCCCTTCCTCTCTCTGAAATCAATAAAAACATTTAAAAAAAAGTGGAAGGATTGGCCCAGACCCGTCCCCATGGTGGCTCTGCAGCCTAGGCTTTCCTTCCTGAAGATGAGGCAGCTCCATCCTAGGGCCAGAGCCAACCACTGCGTGGTAAGGACAGAAATGTTATCCTTCAGCATTAAATAACATCTCGGAATGCTAAGAGCAGTATATGACATGGTCCCATTTGAATGTTAGAAAAGTATTTCTCTCTCTCTCTCTCTCTCTCTCTCTCTCTCTCTCTCTCTCTCCAGAGTTGCATCTGGCTGAGATCAAGAGTAGTTGGGAGCACTGTAGTAGGGAGAAGCCCACCTCAGGATTGTGCAGCAGGAACGCCACAGTCCACTTCACCACAGAGGTGGTGGTTTCCAAACCAGCCCCGAAGATGTCCCCTATAGTGGCGAGAATGTGTCGATCTGAAAGCAGCTTTGAATCCTGGTCTGAGCCAGTGTTGTTATTGCTTGAGTTCATTTGGGCTTGAATCAGGATGTCCAGCAAGTTAGTGACAGAGTTGCTGTTGAAGTTCTTCTGGTTGGGTAAAGTTGGGAAATGTGAAAAGGGAGGAGCCCCATCTGCAACACCCTCCCATACTTCCCTCCTAGGCTAGAGGTACAAAGGCTTCTTCCGCTTGGAAGTGAGGGACCAGGGGAGTCTAATCAGGACCTATGAGCTTGTGGAGGTGAGGCAGCTCTAGGTCCTCTTTGAATTTGAGGTGGTGGATGGGTCCCTTCTAGGATCCTCTTCAATTCCTCACTTCCCCACCCCTATTCATTAGTTAGGTCAATTTTTATTGAGCACCTACTATGTGCCAGGTTCTCTGCTAGCTTCTGGCGATGCTATGGTGTTGAAAATGGACCCCAACCCTGCTCTCACGATACTTTCAACCTAACTGGCAATCTCTTCTGCTCCATTACCTACCTTATGTTTTTCATAGATTTCAGTCAGCAACTCATTTCGTATTTTAGTACAATTCTTCATTATTTCCAGGGCTTTGTTGGGGAAAATCTGGAAAGCAGAAAGACATTTCAAATGCATCCCTCTTGCATTCTGCTTCTACAGCTACCAGAATCCCTCCTGGGGGTAGATTCTCGCCTTCCGTATCAGAAGAGTTCCCTCTCCAAACCCAACCTTCCACCAAAATGGAAGGCAAGGTGGGAGCACAGAACGGGAAAGGCAGAGGTCTGGGTAGTCCTCAATCTCTACAACCCCACCCCTTGTTTGGAATTGGTCTCCACTTCCCCCTCCCCATTCAATCAAACATCAAGCACTGATGTTTACTTAGTAGATAGGCTCTGTTGTGTGCTCAGCCTTTATCAGGAAGATACATTTGAGTCTGAAGCCATGGTCAAGTTTCATAATTTCCCAAAGCCTGTATTCTCATCTGTATGGGGATAATAAAACCTACCTCCAAGGGGAATGCCATGATTAATGCATGTAGCGTGCTCAATACCGGCACATGACAGTAAATAAATATGATCCATTATTATGAGTATAAAATGCATGTAGAGAAGCAGCAAAGTTTTAAGAGTCAGAGAAGATAGAGGTCACAGTGGCCGAGGTGGTCAAGAAAAAGGTGGGTCTGGCGCTGGGCAGCAGTAAGAATTGGGGAAACTGTCAGGGTCTACTGGGATCTGAAGGTGGGGCCCATTCTCATCCTTACCTTCAACTTAGGGAATATGTCTACTATACTGTTCTTGCTCAGAGACTCCATGATGCCATCATTGAATGTCTGTATGGTCTTCATTATAGGATGTTCATTCTTGTAGGAGGTGTTGAAGCAGATGAAGCAGATTATTTTGGTCACCGCGAAGAAGAGAGGCAAGCCCAAATCTATGGACTGTCCGTTCTGGGTGGCCAGGAAATCACAAAACGAACTGATTTCCTGACATACTGAGGGGAGAGAGGAAGAGGAGGCTGGGGAATTAAGCAGCACCATCACCCCATCTCTACCAGTTCCACCTTAGTCAGGGACAGGTAGCGGATGGCCACTAGATGGCAGCCGTAGCCAAGAAAACGCTAGATTGACCCATCCCTATTCCTTCTTCCCTCCCCAGCCCTCTTCTCCCTCCAGAGCCCTAGGGGCTGGCCAGGCACTTACAGATCTTCTCCAGCTTCAGGTTGCCATCCTTGAACAGGGCAAAGGTGGCCAGCACCAGCTTCCGATGCAGCTGCCAGCCGGCACCATAGTCAGCAAAGGCAACACCCTTTTGCTTGTCTGACAGGATATCTAGAGTCGTCTTTGGAAAACAGGAAAGGCTGTAGGAGTTAGACACCACCCATCCACCCTTGCCCTGGGTCTCCTGCACCCATTCCCATGCCTAAGGGACAAGGCAGTCACCGCCATGCTGTGGGGCATCCTGCTTCTCTCCAAGACAGTGAGGCCTTGGTAGGTCAGGTCCTAAGCCCCTCTCACTCCCAATTCCATCAGAGAGAGAAAGAGAGAGAACGAGTAAGGAAAAAGAAAGAACACTCAGAATGCAGGGGTTCTTGGGTTCAGTTTAATGACAGAGGACCGCTCAGCCTCTCTTTTCTCATCTGTTTCTGACTGGGAAGGGCAGCTGTGGATGGGCTAAGGTCTCTGAATTGGTCCTGTCTTGGGGACAGGAGGGGGTTGGGGGGCTTGTAGAGATTGAGGACTACCCAGACCTCTGCCTTGCCCTGGGCGCCCTGGGAAGTGCTAATGGCACCGAAGCTCATCTCCTCCTTGTTCACCCTTCCATTACAAGGCCATGCCCTCCCCGCCCCCCCCCCCCCC